CATCTATAAAGTGGGAGGTGATAGTATTGTCTATCTTACTGGGTTGTTGTAAGGATTAAATGAATTCACGTTTGTATTGCTCCACTCCACAAATGCTGGTAGAGATTATCATACTCTGGCATGCCCTCCACTAGATGCTTTTAGATAAGAACAGAGAGAGAATTGTACTGTGTGAATCGCCAGAATGAAGGATGAACTGAAGTGTCTGTGTTCATTCTCTTCCTTTGACCTCCACAAGCAAAACCTGCCTCTCCCAAGGGCTGTTAAGAGGAAATTACAAGATAAAATCCTCAATTTCAAATCAATCTAAAATCTTGTGAAAAAGGTACACATTTCTCACTTAGAAAAGGGTATTAGTAACTGTAATTAAAAATTAACTTTGAAGAACTAAAAGTTGCGGAAGATACCACTGAAGAGATGGGTGCAGAGGCTCACATCTGAAATCCCAGCACTCTAGGAGGCTGAGGTAGGAGGATCACTTGAGCTCATGAATGTAAGACCAGCCTGGGCAACACAGGGAGACTTCATCTCAACAAAAAATTAAAAAAAAAAATTAGCCAGACATGGTGGCACATGCTTGTGGTTGGTCCCAACTACTCGAGAAGCTGAAGTGGGAAGATCGCTTGAGCCCAGCAGTTCGAGGGTATAGTGAGCTATGATCCTGCCCCTGCACTCCAGCCTGGGTGAGACAGTAGGAGCCTGTCTCCAAAAAAAAAAAAAAAAAAGATATATAATCACTTTGGATATCTTTACTGGATATGAGCTAGTTCCTTTTGAACTGGTCTTCAATGACTGGGAAATATTAGTGAGGGCTTCTGGTATCTCCAGTGGACAACTCAACTGGCAGAGGTGTCTGGGAATCTGATTCTGTGGATGCTGTGGTTCTAAGTTATTTGTAAGTAACTAATTACAGTTGTGATTCCTTGGGGTAAGGTTTTATGGCTTATGTTTCTTATGTTCCTGATTATTGTTTCCAATGTCAGAGTTCAAAAGCTGGCTCACATCCTAAGACACAATGATATAAGAAGTAGCATTTGTTGAGCCCATTTGCCTGCTCTGGCCCAGGGTGTCAAAACTGCTTCCAGTTTTGCCAATGGCAAAGTTGCTCCTTAGGCTTTCTCTCGGACTAGGCTTTCCAATTTTGGACTGCAAGCTTCACTATAAAAAGCATTTTCCATCATGATCCAGCATACACATTTTGTGTAGTAATGCCTACTCTTAAACTTTTTAACGTACTGGTTAAGACCCACAATTGAGTTGTGATTCATAGTTTCAAAATGTATCTCCAGAAACTGAAGCATAAGATAGCTTGTGGTTGGAACTGGATAAGGCAGAGTCATTTAGTGAGTTCTCAGCATTTAGGGTAGCATTACCCAGAGCACATTCTATCAGTGAATTGCTTAAATTTTCCATGATCAGACAAATTTGGAGGGTTCTAAGACAATCAAGTTAAACAGGTTCTTTTACTCTTGGGCTTCTCAGAGCATTTAAGACAAGCAGTAGTTAGCAAACTAGTTACATCAAATCACCTGGGAAGTATTTAAAACTAGCAAACTAGTTACATCAAATCACCTGGGAAGCATTTAAAACTAGCAAACTGGTTACATCAAATCACCTGGGAAGTATTTAAAACTAGCAGACTAGTTACATCAAATCACCTGGGAAGCATTTAAAACTAGCAAACTAGTTACATCAAATCACCTGGGAAGCATTTAAAACTAGACCATTTTGCCTTACCAGACATCCTGAATCAGCCTCTCCAGGACTGAACTTAGGACTCTGTATTTAGGGAAGTGTATGCAACAAAACGTGCCCAGTGCCCCTGCTGTGCGGCCAAGGTTGAGATCCACCATGCACTGTGAATCTACTAAAAGGATAGTAGGGGCACCATTCTCCCTTCTGTCTTTTGACGTTGGAGCCCCTCTTTTGGAGATCCTTTCTTGAAATTGGTGGTCTCTGGAATACATTTTGGGTAGTGTTTCTATCAAAGTTTCCATTGTTTGTTAGAAATAAGAGGGAGATATATTCATTATTCTAAAATCAACAAAAACTGAGTTTTCTGTAAAATTTCATAGGAGGGACAAGTCATCCTCTACCTTTGGCAATTCTGAGCTAAATAATAGTGATGAAGAGTTTATTATAAGCTAGTATGCAAAATTTCATGAATTATTTTATAGTTCTGTTATCAGTATACTTCTCTATATATCCATCACTATAGATCTTAAACTTGAAGTCCAACTATTGCTATTAATATTAGCCAACACTAACATTGGCCGAACATGTTTTTATCTTGTAAGATAATGTGAAAGCTAAATGTACCTCTGGAAACTCAAAACAATTGTTTATAAACAGGTACTATTGATAGTGGCGAGGGCAAGAGAACTTACTTTTAATAAACTAATAACCATGTTAATTATTGAAGTAAAAACCAGCCTAAGTAATATGTTTTCTTTTTTTGAAATGGAGTCTTGCTCTGTTGCCCAGGCTGGAGTGCAATGGCATGGTCTCAGCTCACTGCAAGCTCCAATTCCTGGGTTCGAGTGATCCTCCTGCCTCAGCCTCCCAAGTAGCTGGGGTTACAGGTGCTCACCACCACACCCAGCTAATTTTTGTATTTTTAGTAGAGATGGGGGTTTCACCATATTGGCCTCGAACTCATGACCTCAGGTGATCCTCCTGCCTCAGTCTCCCAAAGTGCTGGGATTACAGGCGTGAGCTACCATGCTTGGCCTAATACATTTTCTAATACTAAACTAGTTCTGTAGTTCATTATAGATGTGTGTATCTACATGCACGTATGTTCCTGTCACCTGAATTTCCTTTTTCTTCGTCTAAATGGACAGATGTAATGATGTGTGGTAGTCCGCATGGTACCGGGGGTCATCCGGAGTGGCTATCCAGTTTGTAGTCTACGCTTTGGACGAATTCGGTCCGTGGGAAAGGCAGATATACTGCAGACGGTTAATATACAACAGTTGTTGTAGGGAAACAGCAAGACAGGGAGAGAAATAGCACCTATAAAATATCAGCAAATGTTTCTGTGTGTATGTGGGGGTGGCAGTGGGGTTGTATTTTCTTAAGCTGTGCTACTAAAGTGATTTCTCTGTAAATATATTTGTTTTGACTTAGAGATAAAGCTGAGCTGTAGCATTCAATGTAGAATATTGGGCTCTAACTTCCGAGACAGTCAGGAGGAGGATAGAATTGAAAATAAAAATTAAACTATTCTCCCTGCTCTATTTACAACTGGTAATATAACTTGAAAAGTAGCAATTTTCTACAATACCTTTAAAGGTAATGTTGTCTCTTTAGTTTACTTTTGCTGGGTTTATTTTCCACATTGGGGGCTGGAGGGAGATGAGAGGGGAGAGTACCATTTACTGGGCACTGATTATATGTTCGATGTTTTATTCCCTTTCCTTCATTTCATTCTCAGGGTCATATCCCTAGAAGGTAAGTGTCACTGTATCCACGTCTCAGACCATGGAGGCTGAGGGAGGCTGTGCTTTTCTAAGAACAGCCGGTCAGTTGGTACGATCCGAATTCAAACCTGGATCTGTGGGACTCCAGTGCCTCTTCATTTCTCCCCCTATACCAGGCCTCCTCCATCTTCTCAAATCCTATACCACCTCCACCTCCTCAGCCCAGGTTTTCCCTGTATGAATATATGTAAGATAAAACTTGGCTAGTCAGAGACATACCTTTAGTGCTATGTCATGCTTACTGACTGATTTCTAGTTCTTGATGCACTTGTCTTTCCAACCACAGAATAACTAAAAGCAAAACAGTGTCATTCTACTTATGCTTTAATATGGCAAGCGACAGCTTTATGTTTTGGAAGTAGATGGGTAGAAATTATGTGAACTGAAATTTCTTAGTATACAATTTCATAATGCTGTCCTTGGTTTGTGGATTTTGAATAGTCTTCAGGAGACATATGAAGCAAAAAGGAATGAATTCCTGGGAGAACTGCAGAAGAAAGAAGAAGAAATGAGACAAATGTTTGTTATGAGAGTGAAGGAGAAAGAAGCTGAACTTAAAGAGGCAGAGAAAGAGGTAAGCCATCTGTCCTGCTTCCAAGGGAAAGATTTGTAAGAGGGAGATTTTCTTAGTACTTCACACTTTAGAGGATTTCATGATGGTCCAAGTACTTTCTTTTTTTTTTTTTTTTTTTTTTTTGAG